TTATAACGAATTTTTGTAAATGAATAAAATTAAAATTGTATATAAGAGTTATTGAATAGACTATAACATTAATTTAATTATACATATAAACTGATAATTAATCATTGTTTTTTATTAGCAATAAAACTTTGTTAAAACTTACATTAAAGTTTCAATTGAAAATCAATAATTTCTTAATATATAAAATTAATATATAATTTAAAACATTTGATATTAATTACAAATGTTGTACATATAATATTATAAACTTTGAAATTGTTTATTATTTTGTTTTTCTTTTCAAAATTATTTTTTAAACTGTAAAATATTTTATTTATTTTTAAAAATGATGACAATTTAAATTTAAAAATTAAATCATTATAATATACCAACATAATATTGTATTTTTTTCTTTTAAAAATAGATGGTATGTATAAACATTCAATCAAATAATCAAGTTTGGTTATATTAAAAATTCTTTTAACTGACTAAATTGATATATAAAACAATGGGGTTGTTTAATAAAGAAATACAATTTAAATTATATATTATAATTAAATATTACAAAAATATTATTATAAAGTTGTTATTTATGTTAAACCCCTAAACAAATATCAAATTCGATTATATATTTTAATCTGTTTAAACTTTCATATGCTTTTGATTATTACTCAAAATATAATTGTTATTAATTATCAAAACTGTTTATCTATTTTATCAATATTAATAATCTTACTGTTACAAAAACTTCCATTTTCGAATTTTTTAAAAGATTATTACTTTAATTATTGTTTTTATGTTATTAAAGTTGTTACAAAAAGAAGAAATAAGGGATATCAGAAAAAAAGGATGCTCGCAACTATTAATTATTTTAAATTCAAAAAAATATTAATAATAATTCAAATAATAAATGAAATGGAAAACACACTAAAATAAATTTATATTTAAATTATTATCTAAAGTGGAATTTTTATTTTGACTGTACTAAAAATTAGCAAAAGGCTGGTAAAGACGATTTTATATTTGTCAAAAATGAGATCACATAACATAAACTTGAAAATATAAAATATTATGATATATAATATAATTACTTAAAAGTAATAGTATAACCACAAATAAATTACCGATAATCACTAGTAATCCAAATGAAACATTTTTACACCACAACACAATTTGAAACAGAAAATATAATGACAATATTTAAATGTTATTAATTATTAATAGAAAAAGAAAATAATAGAGTATTCATTCAATTTATTTAAATTTAAAATAATCTAAATTATTATCGATATTTGTATGTTCATTGGTGTGCATTTACTTTTATTACTCTCTTGTGTCTTGGGTATACAATGGTGTTCAAAAGAAAAGAACGTTATTTTCTGTTCAAATACAGAAGTGGTTGGTTGTGAAAAAAAGATTTTTAAAATAGAAAATGGTGTTATTATTTTAAATACAATAGAATATGTCGAAGTTATGTGCCAACATATTTCTTATATTCAAATTATAGTTGGAGACAGTGTTGAAAAAATGGATTTATATTTGAACCAAACAAACGTTGAAATTATTAACAAAAATATGTTTTATAAAAACATTACATTTAAATCTTTAGTATTTTCTAATGATTCATCAATTATAAATTCTTCATATTCTTTGAGAACTAATAAAGCCTTGGAAGATTATTGTGAAATTTATTTGACTAATGCTCCAAATGGTATGTACGGTTGTTCGAAATGTGAAGACAATTTAGAACTTTATAGAAAAAATGAGTATTATTTTTGTTACACAGGTGCTGAAGATATTAGTGAAGCAAATGTTGTTTGTTATTCGCATAACAACTTGACTTTCATTGATAACATTGAACATTGTTGTGTAAATTATTGCGAAGAAGGTGCATGTTCTGAAAATTCAGAAGGGTATTGCAGCAAATGTTTTGATGGAAATGCTCTTTCGTATGGTACAATAAGCGATGTTTGCTGGCCTGTTACAATGTATAATTGCCTTCGAGGTTCAGGAAATATATGTGACGAGTGTTATAATTCTTTTACACTTGGAATTATGAATGGTCATTCGTATTGTCAAGATTGTACTTATGCATTTCCGAATTGCAATGAATGTAGTACTACGAATTATGAGTGTATTCGGTGCGACAATAATTACTACCTACAGAATTCACAGTGTGTTTCTTGTGATTCTACTTGTTTCAACGGTTGTGATGAAAATGGCAATTGTAATGGTTGTATAGAAGGATATGTATTAAACGATACCCTTTCAAAGTCATGTATTTCTTGTCAAACTTTTGATCCCAATTGTCAAACTTGTAAGAGTGGAGGGGTTCGGCTATGTTTAACATGTAATAATGGGTATCATTTCTCAACGACTTCACCTTATAATTGTATTCCATGTGATTCAACATGTTTAGAATGTGATCAATATGGGTTGTGTATAACGTGTAAAACTGGATATATTCCGAATTCACCCAAAACAACTAGCTGTCAGCCATGTTATTCTGTTGAATCAAATTGTGAACTGTGTTCAACAACATCAAGAAAATGTAATTTGTGCAAAACTGGATTTTATCCTTCATCGACAACGCCAGATACATGTGTTAGTTGCGACACCACTTGCTCAAAAGGATGCAATGGAACTAATGGCAACTGTATTACTTGTATTTCTAATCAATACACCATAAATTTAAATAACCCACTTCAATGCCAAAAATGTTCACTTTTTGATACACATTGTTTAACATGTTCCACTACCAAAAGAAAGTGCTTATCGTGTCAAAGTAACGTTTCATATATTAACGAGGGCGTTTGTAAAACGTGTGATAATAGTTGTTCCATTTGTGATATTAATGGGATATGTACAACTTGTAAAATTGGTTATATTCCAAATTCTACTCCTCAGAAACAGTGTATATCCTGTTTTTCTTTTGATTCAAATTGTGTGAGTTGTGCAACCAATGGAAGTAGAGCGTGTGTAAATTGCAAAACGAATATGTATCCAAACATCACTTCTAGTAAATGTATTACTTGTGATCAAACTTGTGGAGGAAGTTGCAATACACAAAATGGGATATGCACATCTTGTTCAACAGGTAAGGTGTTCAACGATCCACCGACTACAAGTTGTATGGATTGTTCTTTGTTCGATGCCAATTGTGTGTTGTGTGCTTCATATGGTGAAAGAAAATGTCTCCAATGCAAAACAAACAGTGGGACGTATTTAGATAATGGAAATTGTGTTCCTTGTGATGTGACTTGTGCACCAAATACATGCGATCCATCAACAGGATACTGCAAACAATGTATGAAAAATTACATTGTAACATCACCAGTATCACAACGATGTGATAACTGTTTTGAATATGATTATTATTGTGAAAAATGTCCTGATGATTCTTCCAGATATTGTGAAAAATGTATAATGGGTAAATACCCAAGTTTCGATACTAATAGATGTCAATATTGCGATTCGACATGTGGAGATATGTGTGATGGTGTAACGGGGTATTGTACTGGGTGTCAAAACAATTATGTATTTTCAAATACAACTCAGTTGAAATGTGATAGTTGCACTACTTTTGATCCAAATTGCAAGACTTGCAATTCAAATTATAGCAGACAGTGTGTGACCTGTCAGACAGCTGGAATGTATCCTGATGAAACAACAAAAACGTGTAAAACATGCAGCACAACATGTAATGGCGATTGCAATCAAACAAGTGGAATTTGCAATTCGTGCCAATTAAATTACGTCTTCACATCACCAAAAAGTAAAGTGTGTGTCAGTTGCAAATCGTTTGATAAAAACTGTAAAACATGTTCTTTGGACTTTTCAAGAAAGTGCATCGATTGTGAAATTGGTTATTATCCAGCTGAAAGTGGAAGTTGTGCTACTTGTAACACAATAGATACAAATTGTAAAACATGCAACTCAAAATTAGAAGAATGTATCACTTGTTTTGATCCCTATTATTTGTCAAAACAAAATTGTTATTCTTGTCCAAAAGGAACTTTTAAGAATACTCAAACAACTTGTGACAATTGTTACAATATAAAATCCAATTGTAATGAATGTATGACAACATCGATGAGTAATGCAGATTGTAGTGTATGTATACCTCCATATATCGTCGATTTAGAAACGCATGAATGCACCCTTTGTAAAACTGGTTTTGTTTACAACACGACAACCAAAAAATGCTCTCCTAACATTGAGAATTGTGACTACCAAATAGGGACAAACATTTGTTTGAAGTGTACGAACAATGCTTTTATGTCGAATGGAAAATGTCAAAAAGCAACAAATTGTCAAGGCAAATCAACACTTTCACTTGTGTCGTGTGATTGTTATGATCAGATATCAATTCATACTGATTGTCAATCAAAACTACCCAATTGCAAATATCAACAAAACAGAGTGGACACCAGTATTTGTGTAAATTGTGAAGACAACAATACACTTATATATGGTTTATGCGTTTTAAATGATAAATACAAGTTAACAAGAAATAATATAACATTTGGTTGTGAA